CCAAAATCAGGTCTGCTCTGGCGATGATGACGATTTGGTCATTAATCGCGACTACAATTAAAACGCGATAATGAAATGATCGCATAAAATTAAAAACTAAGACAAAATGAAAACATTTTATGACGTCAACAAAAATAACCACCTCCCACTGAACAATTACTTTAGTGAAAAGGTAAAATATGACAAAGATAAATAAAAACAACAACAACCAATACTACTACTACTACCACTTCTGCCACTACTACTACTACCACTACTACTGCTGCTACTGCTAAAACTACAGAAACAACAAAAACTACAACATACATCAGCAATTATAATAACATCAATGATAATAACAGCTATGATACACCAGCAAAATGACAACAACCACAACAACAACAACAAAAACACCAACAACAACAACAACAACATGGAAAGCAGGAACAACAGACCTCCAGCCATATGAACGGCAGACGATCACGCACATATGAAAGTGACGTCATAGATCATAATCAGCTGATCGAACACGTAAACAACAACAACAACAACAACAACAGCAACAACAATGAAAGTGACGTCGTAGATCACAATCAGCTGATTGACTACAACAAAAACAACAACAGCAATAACGAAAATGACGTTGTAGATAATAATCAGCTGATTAACCACAACAAAAACAAGAAACACAATAACAACAACAACAACAACGACAACAACAACGATAACAACAACAATAACAACAATACCATCAGCAAAACCACGACAATATCATCAAACACATACAAGATAATAACAAAGAAATGACCTAGTAACGCCAAAAAATTTAAGCATACGTACCCACACAAACACACACACTCACTTTCTCTCACACACACACACACACACACTCACTCTTTTTCACACATACACACACACGCACACACACACGCCACGCACACACACACACACACACACACACATCTGGCCGACATAGATGATGTACGACTCCTGAATTTTACGTAAATTAATTTAAGTCAATAAAATTTTAAGTGCATTAAAAATTGAAAATAAATTCTTCCTTGCGTTTATGTGAAAATTGTATTTGAATATTCCAAGTAGGATTTGTTTGTATATATGTTATATATGTATGTTTGTATGAATTTGTGTGTATGTGGTTTACCAATACACACCAACACGCACACATACACAAACAAATACACAATCAAACACACACATACTTTTAACAACATTGCATATACATATATATATATATATATATATATATGCATATTTATATATATATATATGCATATATATAAATAGAAGAATATATATATATATATATATATATATATATATATATACAAATCGAAGCAAGTGTGTGTGTTCACATGAACATACTTACACACACACACACGCACAAAAATACACAAACACATACAGAAATACACAAACACACACAGAAACACACACACACACATACACACTACGGAAGTTTTAATTGTACTTTATATAGCCAGAGACCAGCCAGCAACGTTACATACCTTGTGCAGTTTATTTCACTAAATTACTTAATAATCCCTACTTATATAAGTACCCAACTATACTCCGATTATGACTTCATTTATACGTTAATACAAAAATATTGTATGTATGTATGTATGTATGTATGTATGTATGTATGTATGTATGTATGTATGTATGTATGTATGTATGTATGTATGTATGTATGTATGTATGCATGTATGTATGTATGTATGTATGTATGCACATAACACCCACGCAAGCATCTGCCAGCATACACGCGCAGTGCTTCAAGACGAGCATCACTAATGAGAAGAGTGAAAGTCCGACTCTGATTGGTCAGTCTAGGCGCCGCCCACCTACGTCATAGGCCACGTGACGATGATGGACGCCATATTGTACCCATTCAAATCCATATCGCAACAGGTAAAAATGGCGTTCGGTCAGTATTGTTGTTGTATTCCTTGGTATGCTTCGGTAGGTGCGTTAAGGTATATCTCGTGGGCGTTTTGTATCCTGAATGCGCGTTATATTGCTTCTTTAAATCATACATATGTATGTAAGATACTATACATACATATATATGTATATATATATATATATGTATACGTTTGGAAGAAGATCATATTTTATACAAATATATATATATATATATATATATATATTATACACGAATATTTGTATATGTTGTAGCAAGCCTTTTTGTATATGTTTATGTTTGTATATGTATGTAGTATGTATGTATGTACGTATGTATATATGTATGTATGTGTGTATGTATGCATATAAGTATGTATGCACATATATGCTGGAAAGCGCGCATGCATGGAAAAACAGGTAGGTAGCTCGTTCTCTATTGTCTGGTTTTTGTTGTTATTGTTTATTATTATTGTTATTATTATTATTGTTGTTGATGTTGTTGTTATTGTTGTTGTTATTTTTGGTGTGCTTGGTTGGGCTCTGTCTGCCCAGTTCGAATCAACAACCAAGCAGTTGCTGTTTTATGTTGCTGGGTTTATGTTGATAGGTAGGTTGGTATGTATGTATGTATGTATGTGTGTATACATGTATGTATGTATGCATGTATATGTGTATGTATGCATGTATGTGTATTTGTATGTTGGAAGGTAGCAGAAGATGCTCCGATGCTTATGAAAATGTTGTTGTTGATGTTGAGAATGTTGCTCCCGACGAGATGTTTGTGATTGCGTAGATGCTGTTGATTTGATGTTGGCAACATTAACTTTGTTGTCGTGGATGTTGCAAATTTCGTTGCTGTTGTTGTTGAATTTGAAATCATTATCGTTATTTTATTGTTAATAAATAAACAGATAAATAGTTAGATACTTGCATGTTTGAATTTTCAGAAACTGGATAAATTACGCGCAGAGACATTTGGATTAATTTTATGATCTTAGCAAAAAATTGACCATAAGCAAATAAATAAATAAAAATAACAAAATAAAATTAAAAACAGATGAATAAATAAACCATTATTAATATTATTATTATTATATGTTTATAAAAGAAAATTTATGTAGAGAATAATAATTTTTTTTCGATAAAATTGCTAATTTGTTTCAATGTCAATTCTCGTTTCATCTAAATCTGATCGTTCATTGAAATCAATTAATCATTAAAATAAACAAAAACATCAGAAGAACAATAATTGATAAATAGTAATAATTAATGAATAACTGTTTTTAAATTAAATTTGAATAAGTTTTAAATAAGTTGCTGGAGATTTGTAAAAAAGCTGAAAAATTTTTTGACGTAAAATATTCACTGATCTGT